CTGGTCTTCACTGTGGACATGCTACCAGCTGCTCCAAAGTCATGGCCTCTCCTCTGGTGGGTCCTCAGAACAAAGCTCTGGTTCTAATCCTAACCCTAACGCTGTCCCTAGAGTTTGACCCTGACCCTAAACCCTAATCCCTTCCTTGGTCCCTCATTCTGACCCTTACTTTGACCCTGACTTTGATCTTGACCCTGACCATGACCCCACCACTAACCATACTTCCAGCCCTGACTCTGACCCAGACCCTAATCCTAGCCCTAACCCTATTGTTGTCTTTACGATCTATCTCTAATCTTACCACCTAGCACTGAATAGCTGTACCCAAAAGCACTTTTGAATTATATAATTTCTTTTCCTTGAATTTTCTAAGGACATCCTAAAGGAGATTTCATTATGTATTTTGCAGTCCTTCTGAGGGCTATGGCTTCAGATAAGAAGCTCTAATACTTTTCAAGCCATGAAAAGTTCAGAGGGTAATAGTACTAAGCTGTTAGGGATACATGCTGGCATACACAATAGTCATTGGTGCTGTTCTCCGAATATTTTCAGTTTAGTTTTTATGAATACACTCTGACTATTCCAGCCCACCTAATTAAATTTTTGCATGGCCACATGATGATGATGATGATGATGATTTTTTTTTTTTTGCCAATGGAGGTGAGAAAAAAATAATGTGACTTTTTCAGGAGAAATCTCCAGGAAACAGAGTTCTATTGAGCATGCTTTTTCTCTTTTCTATAGCAATGGGGATCTTATTGATGGTACCTCCCTCAGCCTGGATTCCTGTGTTAGGATGATATAGCACAGACCTACCTCTCACTTGACCCATAATGAGATGTAAATAAATGAGGAAGAAGATTTTTGAGCCACTGAAATTTGGAAGTTGTCTGTCACAATGGTTTAACATAGCCCCCAATGACTGATGCAGGGCTGAAGAATGAATCAGAACTGGATCTGAACAAGACATGTGAGGAGCACTCCAGGAAGAGTAAAATTCAAGTCTTGTCTCAAAGATAACAGTGAGCACGACATGTCACTGGGGTGGGTGTGGGATAAATAAGGTATATCAGGTGAGAATAATGAGAAACTCAACTTCAAAAGACAGTGCTAATATGAACTGTGGAGAGATTCAAATGCGCTGCTTAGCATTTGAGAATGTATTGGTTGAGCAAAATAACTAAGAACCCTAAATGAAGCCTTGGGATAAATATTTGGGGGTGTCTAATATCCCAATTTTTTCATCCTAGAATGGGCAGAGTCCTTGACCCCATTCTAGGGAGACTTCTAAAAGAAAAAAGACTTGCAATTCTCCAACAACACACATTAAGAGACTTTCCTGCACTTTTGACCTGTGGCTAACACTCCTCACCTTTCATTATGTCCTCAGTGTTTTGAGGCAACACCTTTAACTCTCTATGACTTACAGGTTATTAAGTGGTCCTTATAATTCCCTTCAGAAGTGGAAAAGACTAATAATAATGGTGTCTGAGCTCACAGCAGCAAGCAGGCATTTGTGCTCAGCAGCCACTTGGCTCATCTGCTAGGAGCTTACTACATGCGATGTTCTACAAAATTGCTTAACACAAGGAGAGAATCTCCTGATTCAGAGGGTTTAATTACTCACCTACTTCTTTTTCTGCACTCTTGGGCTCCTAAAATTAAAAGAACCCTGGGGTGATAAAATAAGTCAAAGGGTTGCCAACAATATCACAGCAAAATAATGATTCCTGAAAAATCCCTGGCCTTAGATGACAGCCTTGACTGGGTAAGTTTGAATGTGCTGATAGTGGGCTTGGGAGAGGGAAGGTGGTTAAAACGTTCATATTAAAGAACTTCCACCCAGATTGCAAGAAAAGAGGAATGGAGATGGCAGCATGAGTCCCTACAAGAAAAGCAGATGTTTTGAGATCAATTATATTTATTCTGACAAAAATTAGACAGAAACCAAAGTTTAGCCTGAGGCTACAATTAGTTGTGCAATAAGCCAGAGGCACATATGGCACAGACAGATTTAAACATTTCTCCCTTATATTAATACAAATACTAAAATTACAAATAAACTGATTCCAAATAAAACAAGTATCTAAAAAATTTAATGAATAAACCCTGGGGTCTACAGTAGTATTTAAAGCAGATCTCACAAACAGGTTTGGTTTTTGAAGGTTAGAACTGATGGTCTAAAGAATTCATTTTGTTCTAGAGACAGAAAGAGAGGAATTTCTTGGGTTCCTTCAGGAATGTGTCTGACTTTGCTTCATCTTTGTATGTTTGAACTATGCATACGGCAGAAGAAAACATTAAGATTTAACAGATTTAAGGTGTGAAAAGTCACTGGGTTCTCTAAGAAAGCTGGGATTCTTCTGCTGGTAAAATAAGTTTGTAGAGAAAAAATGAGTTGGAGGAGGTTGTTATTGAAGTGAAGCAGAATTGATTTTACTAATCTGTTTATTACCCACTTTGTAGTGTGGAAACAAATTATTCATGCACAAGGTCCTCTTACTGTTCCTGAAATGCAGTGGAAAGAGAACAGATTAGCTTTTCTCCCTCAGAATACAACCACTAGAGATGGCCTACCTCAGATGAGATATTGCCTAGTTATTTTAAAAAGACAGTGAGAAATGATGGATATAAAGGTTTGCTACAAAATAAATGCATACTAGAAAAAGAAGCATCTGGGTCACAGATACATTAGAGCCAAATATGTTCCCCTATAACTGAGAAGAAAACAAAAATATCCAATAAAATCATTCACAGTGTGGGAGAAGGGAAGTTGAAGGATGGAAAGGCCAGGCACAAAAGGATTTCAGAATTTCAGTCCAGAAGGAAGTGGCTTTGTGCATTGTCTGTTGCTGTGTGCAAGGTGAATTCTGGGGCAAGAAAACATGCAATGACAAGGGCTCCTTTGTCCATCTCATCTCTCTAGATACCAAGTTTTGGACATGTTGTATTTTAATTGAAAGGTTGAGACACACACACACATATATATATATATGCATATATGTAAATATGTGTGTTTGTGTATATATATATTTTTTTAAAGAACACTTGCAGTGTTTGAAGCAACAAAGGCTACTGTGACAAAAAAGCAGGGAAAGGGATTTTTTTTAAAGCAAACAACATCAACAAAACACACACACACAAAAACAACAAACAAACAAAAAAGAGAGGAAGAAGTCAAAACACCCTGGGCTGTGACTACTTCCAGGAAGGGGCTACCAGAGGCAGCTGGAAATTGTATTTGCTTTGCCCCATGGGTTTCCAGCCTGCTTCCTTTCTAAAGCATATTACTTTGTTTTTGGTTCATAGAGTTATCACTTTCTGTTTTCTGGAACAGCTATGTATTTTCTTTATCTGTCATCTCTCCATTTACCTGCTTATCATCTATCTATCTATTTACTATCTTTTCTACCTTAGGTCAAGCAGAATAGAATTCCAGTGTATGTTCAGTCTACCATTTAAAACAAGAGCTCTTGTAGGCATTCTCCATCACATCACAAACCTGAGCTTTCTAAAACAGGATGTGGCAAACTACCATGCATGGGCCATGTCTGGCGCAGTCTGCTTTTGTAAGCAGTGTTGCACTGGGACACAGCCACATACACGTGCTGTATAACAACTCTGGCTGCTTTCATGGTACAATGGAAGAGCTGAGTATTTGAGAGAGAGACCATATGGCTTGGAAAACTTAAAATATTTAACATTTAGTCCGTTGCAGAAAATATTTGCTGACTCTTGTTTTAAATGATCTTTGTTTAGAATGCTACCTGTTGCCCTCTGGATAGAATCGCAACTCTTTACCACAATAGACATAGCTTTAGCCCTGCTTCTATATCCAGCCTCATCTATTTCCTCTCCTGCTTCTATATCCAGCCTCATCTATGTCCTCCTTAACTATTTATCAAAATATTACTTTGGAGAATACTCATTCACATAGTTCATTTTCAAGTTTTCTTAACCCTTCTGGCCATGCTGATGGATTGTCAGCTTTCCAGATGTGCAAGATTTAGGTGTGACCAAATCTCTCTTCCTTTCCCAAGGGGAAGGGAACTTCCCTTGAGAACTCTTGAGAGTTCTGTCCCATCTCTCTTGACAAATCCCTTCTTCATTCTTCATGATGCAACTCCTTTGCTCCTTCCTTAAGAATGTCTATCTGGCTCTATTTTGGGTGACATGCTCCTTCTACATCTCCCAGAGCCATCCTGTGTCTGTCAGCTACTGCTTTTCTTTGCATCTCTGTTTTATGTGTCACCAAATCTGCAGAAGCTTGCATGAGTCATTGCATGCAGGTGCGGCTGCACATGACAACTTCAGATTCCACCAGCATTGCCCCCACTAACCACGAGGCTTAGACATTTGTTCAGTATGCTGGGGGTTGTGGGGTGGTATCAGTAACCAGCTGGTGAGCATCCTCTCTTACATCAGACACCAAATCTGAAGATCTATGCCATTCATAAGTATTTGGAGTTTAAAATTAGCATAAAGAATTTCCTTAAAATAAGAACAAATGGCTTGAGTAGGCTTTTGGAATATATGATGTTTCTGCTGGTTTATTTCTGTGTTCAGTATTCAGACATGAATCTAAACACGAGCCTGCTCTTAGTAGCTGTGCGACCCTGGGGAATTCACTCAATCTCTCTCAGCTAAATTTTGTTGTGTGAGTAATGAGGAGAGAGTTGTGATTTGTATTTAGGGAATAATAACAAACAAAAGGCATTTGGCTTTCTGGAACCTGGTATGTAGTAGATCCTCATGAAAGACTAGCTCTGTTGACAAAACTAGAATGAAAGGAGCTTTCAAAGTCAATTACAACCTCATGCAGTGAAGGACGTAGATGAGAAGCTGCTGCTGCAGCCTGAGCTCCTGGAGGCCCGTTTTGTCCGTGATTTAGGAATGCACTACCTTTCTATGAGGAGACACTGCCCACAGAAACCAAGGCCATTCTTTGAAGAAAAACTTGTTTTAATAGCCTTTACATTATGGAATATTATAATTGATCATTATTAATAATGTAAAATTATTTGCATTATTATGTTATGGCTTCTGTACAGACCTTTACACCTAGATGTTCTGAAGTTGGTGGTCTGGGAGTGGCATGAAGTGGTGACTGACACACTCTGATCTGGGTTAGAACAGCACATGCCCCTGCAGTTTGCTGAATTTAGGTGCATTGCCACCTTTTTTCAGGAGTGTGTTTTCCTATCTTCTAGACTTTTGCCCACTTAAGCAACAGTTTGGCTGTAAACAGAATTGCAGTATTTATCAAAATATTACTTTGGAGAATACTGGTTCACATAGTTCATTTTCAAGTTTTCTTAAACTACTAGGTCCACAGCTAATGCCAGTGGCTCCAAAGATGAGAAGGTAAAAAGGCCTTTCTTTTACCTTCTCGGAAAACAAAAATAACAACCACATTTTAAACTTCACTGTCTCATGCTATTCACTGGAAAATTAAAAGTGAATATACTTCCCTTCCAGCCCAATCACAGCTAATAAATAACCTGCAGATCTCCTGCAGGTGTCTTTGCCTTGGATTTGTGAGCCTAGAGTTGCTGGCTGGCACTGGACGGCAGGCAGAAGAGCTGGTCCCATTTCTCCATGCTTTCCCCATTCTGTGGGGAACAGACACATTGAAAAACCTGGGTCCTGGCCTGGCACTGGCTGAGAAGCTATTTGATGTCAGGCTCATAGTGGACTTCTGAGTTGAAAAGAGAGTATGGGTCATCCAACCCCACTTACTCTTTTTACAGAGAATGAAAATGGGGCTCTATGCCAGACGTGACAGTACACATTACAAGGCTGTGAAAGCTCACCACACTTGTATCCACCCAGCACACACTTAATGAGTGCCGAGTGTCTCCAGCATGAGAGGGGCTCTAGTTCCCGGGGTCCCACCCTCCACAGAGAACAGCAGCACCTTGAGGGACAGAGGTGCAAAGAGCAATGTGGGGGCCCTTCTACTGGAGAGGTGTCTAGGGAGGTTCCTTAGAGGAAGTGACACCTGAGCTCCCCTCTGAAGAGTGAAGCTGAATTACTTGAAACTTAGGGCGAAGGGGTGTCCAGGGAAGTGGAGCTTGTGAGCCAAAGGCCTGAGCATAATGACTTGTCCAGAGAAGTGTAACAAGTTTCATGTTGTTTTTATGACACATTTGGACAGGAGTCACCAAAGGAAGGAGCAGGATCCTGGAGCCAGGGCCTTGGATTTCACCCACTGGTGATGGGAATGTTCACTGGGAATTTTGCAGGCAAAACATGAAAGTGTTTCCTCTTAGCTTCAATTCTCTCTCTTTCTGTCCTTCTCTCTCCCTTATCTTTAATTTTTGTATTATCATAAGAAAACACAGATGTCTCAGATATGAGGATTAGCAGACTGCCACTTTCTGGATGACTTCAGGGGAGCATTTTGGCCTCTGTGAACTTATTTACAATAATTCACGAATCGTGCAAAAATTAAAATTAAAAAAGTCAGGTAGCAGGGGTTAGAAAATCTTGTATTTCTTCTGATACTTTGAATTTATGATTTATATGTTTAATCTTCATCTTTTGAAAAGTCACCAGTTGCACATTGAGGACCATAAAGGGCCTCTGTTTCTATGGTTTGCGGCTTCCAGTGTCAGTGATTTTGCAGCAATAGCATGTGGGTTTTAGGCTGATGATGCTGAACAGTGGACAATTCTCTTCACCTGCCTGGGCCCCACTGCCTGCCCTTCCATACAATGTGGGTCACAGCTGAGCTCTCCAGAGACCTAACAGGATCTCAGCTTCTGGACTGTCAGGTGTCATGTAGGTGAAGGCTTGGTCTCAGAGCTTTTGTGGCTTTCTTCAGGAAGGTTGGTTTTTTGACCTAACCCCGGTATTTGTGTGACACGCATGTGAATGTGCTGCCTGCGGCAGCGCTGAGGAAGGACTCAGTCATCACAGATGCCGAAAGGCAAATGCAGTGTGCGTTTTTCCATCGCCAGTCTTGCATTATTCTTACCCATCAGCCCACTTGAAAAAGAAAAAAAAAAACCCTCCTGTTAGAATTAAACGCCCTCTGGAGATCATGGGTAGTTCCTAAATCTTTCATTTTTTTTTATAGTCACATTTGCTCCCAGTGCCTGCCAGGATCCACCGGGGGAGGGAGGGATAGGGGGGCAGAGCCGCCGGGCGTTTGCGTGGCGCTGGCTGAGCGGGAATGAAAACAGGCCGCGCCCTCCTGAGCCACCCCAGCGCCGGCCACCGCAGCGAGGAAGAAAACCTCAGGTTCTGAGCCGGACGGTGCTCGCAAGCAGGAGGCACCTGCGTTTTCTCGGTTAAAGAGACAGAAACAACGTGTCTTCACTACTTTTTGAATTTACCAAGTTTTCTACTTTTTTAACTTAATTGAATAAACTCCCTATGTATCTTGACACATGCGTGGAAAATTCACAAATACTTCAAACCAAAATAGAGTATTTCGCCAAAGATAATTTTTTTGATATGTGAATTTCACTTTTTTCCTATCTTTTAGTGATTTTAATGTAATGAAATTGACTTTTCATACCTCTAAAAGACTTTTTTAAGAGCATGGTAGTTCTCCATTTTGAAAA